CTTTCACCTTTATAATGTGAGGTCAGCATCATAAACAACTCAATCACTAGAAATTTTCTAATTTCCTACTATTTCACAAAACCGATTGCTGTGTTTCTGTGCACTGCTAAGGAGAGGGTTAAAATGAATAAACTTTATGAAACAAAATGTCTGTGTTTGATATTACGAATCTCTAAACCAATGTTTCTCGAAAGGCGTGTAACATCAGAGTCAGAATGTGCCACGAAAGTTTGAACTCAGACGCGTTTATTCACGTGTAACAATAATTAATAAAGTTATTTACTAGCTGTTGGTCTTTGTTCCTGATTTTTCTTCATATGCGTTTCTATCTAATTATTGCTTCTTTCTTAATATATTCATATATATATCTTATATTTATTATATTCCGAAATTTATTGGTATAGCCTTTTTAATCTAAACAACTTGTTAGTCAACACATTGTGGTAGCAGAGTTNTAGTTGGTCGAGGCACTGTGCTACAAGCCGGAGGATCGTGGTTTCGATTCCCAGTGAGGCCATTGGATTTTTCAATTTGCCTAATCTTTCCAGCCGCATTATGACCATAGAGTGGACTCAGCCTCTAACAGCAATGAGTACTAGGAATCTTTCTGGGGTGTAAAGGGCGGCAGGCTCATAAGGCTGACAACCTCACCGCCATCTGTGAGCCGATTGTCTAGAAAATGTGGGAGCCTCAACGTCTCACAAACCTATGGGACCCCACGGCCTGATATAAGAATAGCTTTATCTTTTTCTTTATAATGAAATATATATTGTTCATATAGGACTGGTTACGTAGCCCGGTCTCGCTATGGAACAGAGGCTGACATTTTGCAAACTCTGCTCTTGCAAATATCAAGGAACCTATAAGAGAGGGAGAAACCCCAGGCTCAGTAATGCGGTCAGGTCTCTTCACAAAAATTACATGGTTCCGTACATGTAATATGAGCCAATAAAACAGTAAAAAGGAAAGTAGGTATGCAAGGCCAGCATTGTTGTCCGATCCCTTCGCAAGAGTAACACCAAGTCTATAATAATAGAGACTAACCGTACAAATGGCATGGTACCAGTAAAACAGTTAAAAAGACAACCACAGGGCCAATAATGCAATCCGCCTTCTCATTAAAAATACCGTAGCACCAATAACACTGCACCTACTCACAAGAATAACAAGGAACCTGCAAGGTTAAGCTTATCCACAGCCGTAATATTGCACCAGAAATATGTGAGGAAAGCATGGAACGGACAGGGCACTCTCACAAATCTATTTGTAGTTCATTATCACCCGCATTATCAATAATAAATATGTTTCGTATGGATATTGATGGGAAAACCAGAAGGAAGGAGACCAATGGCAAGACCAAGGAGTAGGTGGGTGGACAATATTAAAATGGATCTTAGAGAGATAGGATGGGATAGTATGGATCGGATTGATCTGGCTCAGGATATGGAGCAGTGGAGGGTTCTTGTGAACCCGGTAATGAACCTTCGGGTTCCATAAAATGGTGGGAAATTCTTGAGTAGCTGCAGAGTTGACGGCTCCTCCAGAAGGATTCAGCTCCATGAATAAGTAAGTAAGTAAGTAAATTGATACAGCTTTGTAAAAACACCTTCAACGTTGAAACAGTGAAACATTTGAAAAACAATGCAAACGCTTACAACCCTACTGACTGATATTGTACGCTTAACTTCCTTTCGTGACATAGTTACTTTCCTGTTCATTTTGGGCGTTTCTGTAAGAAGTCGAAATAATGGCAAAATCGGAGATCGTGATCATGCTGAATGTGACACCGAGTGCCCAGAATTGAGTGATCATTTTCATGGCCGTGAGAGACTCAAATCTCACAGCGTGAAAGTCAATTGTGGAGAAACCACAAAAGGACTACCATAAACTCGTCCATTCTTACAGAAGACAACTTCCCAATATCTGTAAAAGATAGACCGTAATTCATTATCTGCAGATATAGCAGAATTTATGTAATGAAAGCTATAACAGCAAACAGACGGCTAATTCTTAAAATTATGGTAACTATAAGTCTGTCTTGCGCTCACAGTTTGCTGTTTATGCACCACCTTCTCAGTGATTTTCCTTGTTCGTCTCTAGCGAAAGATGCTAGGGGAATCTTTCCTTTTCTTGCCATGTTTCTCTTGTCCATTGCCAGAGCGCCCTTTCTCTTCTCCTTCGTCTACCTGTCTGTTCTTCTCATGCCTCCTCAAGTGTCCATAGTTTCTTATTCTACTGCAGAATACCTTCCTGCAAGAAACATACTTTGCAACAGCGCTAAAATTAAGAGTTTCAAGTTTGTACATCCAAATGAATTATTCAGTGAAATGGATTCATTCGGAGGATGCACCGTCCATATTTAGTCTGGCAGACTCGCAGTGCTGTCTGAGATTTGTCACTTTTACTTGATTTTAAATACATTTAAATGAGGTCGCCACCAATTGCTCCTCTCAGTTCGTGTTTATTATGACAATTCACATTCGCCGTTATGAGGTCACATAATTGTTGGGACAGTAATAAAATGTCGGTTATTCTTCCAGGGCGCGACGCCATGTAGTCTGGTAGATCACTGCCAGCGTATCGGAAGAAGGTGCTGCCTGCATCTTCAAGGCAGACGAATAAGCCGAGATTAAAAAAAAATGTTTGTGATATAGGAAAGTGGGATCGAACCCTTGGCTGATCAACAGGAGACGGTGGTATTACAATGTGAGAGATGTAGCAAGCGCACGATTAAGGGGTGGGGGAGTATGTACTTACTTACTTACTCGTGGAGCTGAGCCCTTCTTGAGGAGAAGCCAAATCTGCAGCTACTCATGAATTTCCCAGCATTTTATGGAACCCGAAGGTTCGTNACAGAACCACAGGCAAAATTATGGTTTTTTATATTCCAATTTTTAAATATTTGTACAGCAGACGAGAAGACAAAAGGTTCTGGACTGAATGGTAGCAAGCATTACCCGAGTTCAATCGCCTCTTAATTTCCTCCTGAATCAGGTTTTGATTTGTTATCGTTTTTCCCGGGGAAATATGTAGCAGCAGGAAAATAGGAAAGTATAAGAGGACGAGGAGAAGATAAGATAAAATTGAAAAAAAAATAAAAGTAAAACAAATGCAGTCCCTTAAGCAAGGAAGAAACAAAAATAAAGAGGGAAGATTTCACGAAGAATACGCGAAAAAGACGAGATAAATAAAAAAAATATATATAAAATTATAAGGTGTAAACTGAAACAAAAATAAAGTATATGGTAGTAAAATAAACAAAATAGAAAATAAAGTTAAAAATGTAGCAGGGATGGAGTTGAACGGAGAGCCAGAAAAGCGCCACTGGATTTTATTCTGCACGAGATGAATCCATTCCTCATTCTCAGTGTCTGTTCATTTAAATCTGTATATTTAATTGATCTTAAAATAAAACATCATATGAATGGTTTGCTGTGTGAGAAGAGCGTCCAGAAGAGCTAATGGTCAGAAATAACTCCCGGCAGTCTACCTTAGAAGAATGCTCATTATATATATATATATATATAGGAGATGAGGCTTATACGATTTTGAAGGTTCACATTAAAATCTGCTGGGTCAGGACTGAATATAGCCTAATCTCACAGGTGGGTCCTGACGTTTCGGAGAAATATAACGCTACTTTTCTCTTCTTGTAGTTACTGAACTTTCCTTTCCTGGAGGTAGATTTAACGGTTCCACGATATAAACTGCTAGCATCATGTGATTAGATTATTGTTTCATTCACTACATATAGAGTCGTAGGGTTATTTGGAGGTACCGAACTATAGAAAACGGGATATTTATAGCAGCAATGATGTTTCATAACTGATATTATGGTTATTGATCGACATTTTCAACGGTATATGTGGCACATCAGCTTAGAAAATGCTTCTTATTTAAAGTTGTGGTTTTCCTCATTATCTTTCTTCAAATTACAACATAATAGTTTTCCAGCTCAGAAGTTTAATTATGGCATTAAAAAACTGGTGTTGCATTCGGGAGATACACGCTTCTAACCTCGTCCTGGTTAAAAGGCTATCCTTGATAGTTATTTCCGTCTTCTGTTTTAATCTCTCTAGAAGGTTGCTGCGATAACAGATTTAAATTTGTTGTAATACCCTCAATCTAAATCCTTACCTACTCACCATTCATACTGAACTTCCCACCTTCCTCGGCATTGCGAAATTTCTGCTGCATACGCAGGCGCAGTGAAACCGACTTTTCTCAAGATCTCTCAGTCTTTCTGGAATTATCGCGGAGGCTTCTGCTGTATCTCAAATGATTGTTTAAATCCTTTAGTTGATATTTTGCTGTTATCTTAATTTTTTTTATTATTGTTGGCGTTAATTTACTGAATTTATTGCATCATAAAAATTAATTTCATATTCATATTCGTAATGATTCTGAAGGGGTTTTTTTATTAAAAATTTTGATCCCATATACGATTAAATTATATAATTTTCTAAGGATAATATTCTGGAATTTAAACATTTATCATTTTCTCCTCCATTTTTGATACTTTTACCTTTTTTATTGTTTATCTTTATTTCAAAAGATTTTCCCATTTATTCTGAATTTGATTGGTTCTAGCTAAATTACATAATAAAACAGGAATTAACTTTGTCCGTACTCAAGAAAATGGCAGAATTCCTTTTTTCTTGTGTAACACTGTTACCTGTTTGAAGAATGGTTAATTTCATAATGTTATTAATCACTGTAGTTGTAAAGAGAGAAGAGGTAGCACTCCTTTAATACAGTTAAAATATAACATGGTACTCTATTTCAATTACTAGGTACAATGCTAACACTGTTTCCACGCAGAAACTTCTTTTCGGGTCTCAATTTCATTTTCATTTAAAGCGGAATTGTGAAATTGTGTACAGAAGTAAACATTTCAGCCATAAATGAAACATGTGTTTTTGACGTGCATGTAGCGGTGATATTGGCAAAACTGGTTTCTGGCTGAGACACGAATGCACGTAACAGCTTGACTCTGGTCCCTTGCTCGGCTACGCTGCATCTACTTCTGTCTAGCAGCAGTAGTTTCCACGTTGAATAACTCGACTAGACCAGCTCGGCCAGATGCAATTCCTGTCTGGGTCACCACGTGACTCGAAACAAGAGCGTTGAGTCTCACATTTTTCAGCAAACAGAAGATTATCTGCTTTCAAACGTAAGGCCATTTGTACATTTCAAGGTAAGAAAGTCAAGGTCGAATGATGAAAACATAATAACGTAATTTTGGAGGGGGGGGGAGGTGGTTCCTGTTGTGATAATCAGTAAATGTTGTTGTACAAGGCAACGATTTATGTGACGAGAGATGTTGAAGTACCTTTACAATATTTAAACAACAAAGTCTCAAGCGTATATTATTTGTTGCATAAATGTGTTTCAGTTCAATATACCCCGCGTTATTCTAACTCGCGTTCACCGTGACAAATATTCGATAACAATTCAACACTAATTATAGAGGCTTATTTCCCATTTCCAGTCAATTTCCTGCTTATCTTTCAAATATATTCCATTTTCTGTCTTTTAAAAATGAATCATGCATAAATATATAATACTTCTAAAGTGGTAAACTTGTCCCTATGTTTAGCTAATTAACACTATACAATTAAGACTTATGGGGGGAGTGGATGTATATAAGTCCATATTTTCTTGACCTCGACACCAATTGAAGGTGAGTGGTCAGCTTCACGCTCCGGCTGCTTTAACCACAGAGAAAGAGCCCCCGGTACCCATTGGACAGTAGGCTGGGTGGACCTCAAATTCGGGCTGGACGACGCGGAGAAGAGAAAATTCTTGACCTTATCGGGACTCGAATTCCGACTCCTGGGTCGTCCAACCCGTATCCAGTCTCTAATAAAATACTTTTTAACCAATACAAAACATGTAATTTCAATTTATTTATATTTTATCATTAATTATAATCGATGTTTAAAGGCAATAAATACTTGTTCCCTAGGATGACAACCCAAGAATGCAAAAAGTCTCATATCGTTAGGATAGTAAATATGTTCGGCAATGTAGTGAGGCTTAAATAAATTATGAATAACATTAACACATCAAAGTGAGAGTAGTTATATATTCTGGGTTATAACCTCGTGTAGTTCCCGCTTTTTGCTGATTTCATACTTGGCTTAATCTTACACACTGAAGAAGGAGGCAGTATATTCCTTCGAAACACTGGTTAACCTTCTACGGCACTGAGCGGCGTTTTATCCCAGAAGACAGAGATCCGCTTAACCACGGCTGTGAAGACATAAAATTGCACAAATTAAAATATATTCATGAAGAAATTAAAGTTAGACAAATTCGGGGAATGGTTTGCACCCATTTTATTTTCCAATCCATTACATAAAAACGCAAAACGTAAAATAAATGCAATTGTAATTTTACTTGTTCCTTATGGGTTTTTAATTTGGTCTTACCGTAACAGAAAATAACATACTGAGGATTTTCGGGAGCAGGAAGTTGAGGACAATACGTGAGCCTAATAAATAGTAAATAATAGTAGAATGGGAGCCTGGCCAGTTGAATTAGTATACTGAATATGCTACAAGCTGAATGACCAGGTAATCCGGGTTCAATTCACTACAATGGCAGAGGGTTTTCTCTTCTGCACAGTGTTCATATCGGATCTTCAGACCACTCAGCCTCATAAACAAGAGTGTAAAGTCCACGAAGGTAAAGATGGTCACTTTTTTTTTTCTGTGGCGCTACAGTCCAAATTTGGGCCTAGGCCTACCTCCATGAAACTCTCCGTTTCACTTCGGTTTACTAGATCTTACACATTCGGTAGGAATCCTTGGGCGAGTGATCAGCTAGTCGCAAGGCCTCTACTTGTACACAAACACAGAAAAACGCACACAAACATCCACGCCCTGAGTGGGATTCGAACCCACGATCCCGGCTTCCGAGCGAGCGAAGACAGTGCATGCCTTAGACCGCTCGGCTACCGTGACCGGCAAGATGGTCACTTAGCCCAATCTAATAGAGTGGTTAAGAACGCGTAGAGCTATGTCTCCACTTCCCCACACATCGTATGTTTTACTAAACGAAGAGATAAATTCACCCTTACTTAAACAGCAGATTACAGATCACTGCTTCATGAGCAACTTCATTACTTATACTCTTTAACAAATATTATTAGTATTGTGCCTTATATATCCGTTGCTAAGCAGTGACTCTGTAAACAGGGCCGCTACTAGATAACGCCCGCTACGTACACGCAAGAAACAATAGAACGACAGGATTATGCAATATGTTTCTAAGCAATGGATCGGTAAACACGTTTACAACAATAGAAGTATTGTTGGAAACGATTGTTTTATATTCGGTCCTTGCAAATTGGTTATAAAAAGGAGTTCAACTGGGAATCGACAGTCGAGTTCCAAGTGAGAAGTTAGTCGAGAGTTTGGCTCTGCAAAGGAGGCTGAAAAGATGGCGCTATGAGTTCAGGTGTTGAGTGCTGACCAGCGGGCAATGGCGTTACCACGGAAGCAGAAGAATCTCCACTGTTAGAAGCCGTTATTAAGAAAGGGCGGGTGAAGAAAGAATGGCTGGAAGAGGATAAGCGGGTGCTGCTGCGATTTGTATAGTGTGAGAATCAGTGAAGCGGTATTTCTTTTATTGCTAGTGGGGTGGGACTAAGTCCCTTGTACTGCGGCCACTCCTGGCCTATTGTACCAGCCCCAGATGATACGTGAGGGTGATTGTGGAGCAATTGGTAGAATGAAGATTGGCAGGCGAAACCGAAGTACTCGGAGAAAACCTGCCCCAGCGCCACTTTGTCCACCACAAATCCCACTTGACCAGACCCGGGATCGAACCCGGGCAGCCGCGGTGGGAAGCCAGCGACTAACAGCTTGAGCTATGGCGCGGCCCTTGTGAAAAGGTTACAATTAATTGTAGTTACGATCTGTAAGAGTCCAATAAACCCATTCATAAATTCATACCCTCGTCTCTAGTGACTCTAAATACGTGACAGTATGACCACATCAAAAGATGAATGGGGTCGTGCAACACGCATGCGAGAGATGTGCCGAGCACACGAAATTTACACCTTGCAAAACTCGGGGTAGAAGGAAGGATAATATTAAAATAGAACTCTACTTTACTATCTTAACAACGGCCAACTTGCTAGGGAAGATTGTGTTTCACGAAGTTGATTTAGTTCGTTAATGAGATGGAAGAGAGAAGAAACAAGTGAAAGAGTAGTTTCTGAATGAAAGTAATAACTTTATAAGACCTGGCAGACCTTCCATTGCTTCGTTTATTTTTAAGTAGACAATGCGGGATTTGTGAACAGCATTAATAGACAGATGTTTATAACAGAGACGTAATGGTTTCTATGCTGCAGGAACTTTTTTTTTTTTTGTTCTTCTACGAATTCAGGTCTTAACGTGAATAGATGTTCTTTTCCTGAACAACCAGACTAGTGAGCACTACTCAGGCTCTGTGTAATACTTATGCACGATGTTGCCTTTCGAATTCGTAAGTCTAACACATCCTCAAAGTTACGCTCTTTCTGTCTGCTTCAGATTTAAATCAGAAATTTAATCAGGCAATTTATGCAGATCTATTATTTACTTAACTTCAATACAAATCTACTTTATATCGTTATTTAGAGAAGTGTTTACTTTAAATTGAATTTTGTTTGTGGTTTATTTTCATGTTATATGTTTCTACTGTTACTCTATTTACATGATTAAGAACTGTGAATCTGGTAAGATTTCAGAACAAGGGGCTGCATGGTTATGTGAAGCCATAAACTGTTATTTTCAGGATGAGACTGATGAGTGAGCTTTATCCGAGTCTTGTGTTTGGTCAAAGACTGTAGCTTTTATCGTCTTATACCGCGGCTCACACAACACGATAGTGCGTCATTTAACTATGACAAGTCGTGTCAAATGCAACATATCACTGTTATTTTAACTCTAGGATCCTGATACAGAATGTCCTATGTGTAGTTTAAGTGGAAGGCATAATATGCACCGTTAAATATTTTCATAGCAACTACTCTGATATTTATTTGTTTACATTACTTAACGTCGCGTGTATATAGTCACTTGTTTCATTCTGTACGACAGATGTAGACAAGCAATGCGCCTGTGAGCACTGACATATGTCGAGTTATTGACCAAAACCAACTCCAGAAAATAAACAAATTAATGCTAAACAATCTACTTATTACACTGTTCGCAAGGAATAAAACATGGAGCATGAAAAGACAGGTGGAGGAGTAATTTACAAATTTACTGAAGCATGACATTAGTAGGACTGTCTTATGATACCCATGGCAGTAGTCTTACAATATGTTTGTTCTCGTGATTGGATTTTCTTTTCTTACAAAGAGGAGTTAGACAAATAAATTAAAGGGAACTAAAACATAAGGAGTAAATGTTAGTCTGGTTCAGTGTGAGCATACAGCTTTCGAGCATCTTTAATCATTATTCCAGCAGGGACGATTCATATACTGTACTGTCCCAAGAACAGGACCCATTACACAATGCCTGTAAAATTCTGCATTGTCATATTCTTCATTACAGAAAGTAACAAGATCCCGTGATGATGGCCTGAACTGAGGTAAGCGGAGGAGTTGTTAAGACTTGGGTTTGGTGGTCATTGCGGGGAACTCGACGCAAGGGACGGGCCAGCAGTACAGAGAATGTTGTTGGCTCGGAAAAGCCCTGAGGGGCTCTCTTAGTTGTCTGCTACTTCTAAAGGCCTCGCCTCTTCTTCGTCTTCAACAGCCACTGCCGCCATTACTCTTAGAAGTCGTGTCTTTGGCTTGGGTTCTTATATACGAATGGATGAAGAAAACGAGCGAACGAAGGAGCCGAAGCCTCTCCTGCAAGGTAAGCAAGGCAGCAGCAGCTAGCAGCCAGACCAAGCAACGTGCACGCCAGTAGAGCCGTAGTTAACAGTGGAAGTAGAAGGTTATACTGGGCAGTCTAACAAATATACAACAAATAAATTTATAAAACCAAACGATTGTTACATTTCGTCTAAAACTGCAGTAAAAAATCTCAAGATAATGTGCCAATGAACCAAAATAAACTCATTACTGTAGTCGTGTACAGATAATTATCAATCGCTTTTTGTTTCTTCTTCTTCAGCAATTTCTCCTGCCATCTTCTTCATCTCCGATATTTGTGGGAAAGGAATCCAAACGCAGTGCCATTATCCAAGATAGTCAACAAGTTGTGTGTCCTAGTGTTTATGAATTTCTCTCTCTCCTGTAATAATAACCTCGACATTTTTCACATCTGTGTGTGTGCTTGTACTGGAAAACCATTCATATGTCAACAGTATGATGTGAACAGCAAGTGTTAAGAGTCGTCACTTTCCTCTTCTGTAATCCAGTTACAATCATAAGTAAGTACTTAATGTGTGCTCCAGTAGTTTTGTGCAGACAGTTGTGTACACGTTCTGGTTGAATCTTGAAGTCTTGTATTCGATGTAGTGCCTCTTATATTGGTGTTTTGCTCTCAAGTACTGTAGTCCACTAAAATGAACTGAAGTTAATCACACGTGTTTAGAGAATAGTAATAGATTTATGTTCTCAACGTTTAGAAACACTTGATGCGTTAAATATTTTACAAAAAAAAAAGTTTAACTTTGAAAAGAAACTGTGATAAATGCAACTTTTCGTGAGCAATTAATTCTATAAATAATTGCCTTCTAGTGTTTAGGTTAACAAGTGTCTGTATGTTCCGAAACGTACTTCCTTCTCTATCACGTCCTAACTAAACGAAGTACGGTAGTGTACTAAAAGAACACAACTCGTAACAACACGAACCAGAACTTGTTGGTGGAAACTGTGGATATGAACGGAACAGGTTGGCACTCTTACAAAGGGAACTAACTAGTTGTAGAGGACACCGAACACTGTGTTGTTCAAAACCGGTGTTACATGTTGGAGAGCACAAACCAGGGGTCCTGCTGTAGCTGGTTTTAACCTACCGCTACTGCCCACTGCTGCAAACTTGCCTCTTGTTCCCCTTATAGACACGGACATACTTGTGTGTATGTATGCGAGACGTTATATAATGACCTAAGGTTATGCTTTGTACCTTTATTTGCTGGCTCAGCACTGAAGAACCAGAAAAGTTAGTAAGAATAGGGGAAAGAAAAACAAAACCTCCCCTACATTGAACCTGCCGAGTAATGTACCCTTCCCCTCCCCTACCGTTCTATCTGAAACAGTAGAAAACAGGTTCATCATAAGCAGTTACTACTATATAGTTTACTACAACTTCCACTACTCCATTCGTTGTTTGGAGTATTTTAAATAGAAGAAGAACCCATTCCGGTTTTCTTCACGCGAGCACTTACATTTATCCATTAGTTCGCTGACAGAACCGGTCGCTTATTCTCTGCTGATCATAATATCACCACGTGCCATACTTGTTACACAATAGTCCCAGTTATACCACATTCAGTTATTAATGCTCAGAATTAAACTGGGGTGTTTCAAGAGAACCCAGTGAAGACTGTGTTAATACCATCATTATAATCTCTTTCATGCCAAACACTTAAACATTGAACAAACAAGTTAGCACTTAACGAAGTTGCTCTTCTGAATATACGTTAATCAGACCAGCAATTAAATGGCCTCTAGACTCCTCCCAAATGAGTGGACCATTTGACTGGATACACAAATGGCATATAAAACTGAGTGAAAACAAGCTGTGCAAATTTTCGGTTTAAGTTGCCATAAAAAACTGTGCGACATAATTTTTGTTAGTATTTGACTCGGTAAATAATTGCTTCCAGGAAATAAAATAATCAAACAATGACAAAGCGGGGATTGGAAAACCCCGTGACTGTGCCCCAAGACAGTCCACCATCGCCCCCTCCCCCTATGGCGTCGCCTGCACCCACATCAACTCCTCCACCACATCAATCGACAAGCCCGCCAATCATGCTAGCCACTATGACGCCCGTTAGTGTTGTCGGGCTTCAGAAGGAGTATGGTGATGAAGATAATGAGCATCAGAAACCATCCCCACTTTATCAGACGCACATCGTCACGAGCAACCAGCTGAAGGATGAATTCGGGCCTGAAGAGGAGGAAAAGAAATCCAGTGGCGTCACATACGAAGATAGAATAGGGACGCCTCAGGACCACGCGAGTGAACTGACCGTTACAACAGCCGAGGCAACGCCTACAACAGAGACATTACCTGAAGTTCATCTGGTGGACCCTGGAACTGGAGCAACTGTAGTGGCCACAACTGGAGCTGCAAATAACGCCACTGTTTCCGTCGTGGTCCAGCAGCCCCAACTTCTGAATCAGGCGTACCAACAGCAACCCGGAGCAGGGACTACGGTTCTAGTTCTCTCTGAGCTAGTAGAGGATATGTCTCCAGTCATCGGTATCAGGTAAGGCTATCCTCAGTTTCGAATCGATGCGAGGAAACCGTCATCAGGTCCGTCGGAAGCAGACGGGACTGAGAGGGGGCTCATGTCCCACTCCTTCGCGGTTCTGAAGTCGCCATGTAAAATTTTACCCTTTTTTTTATATTCGCTAGTGGGGGTTGGAGTCCAGCTGGGTCCACTCGGCACGGCGGCCACTGATTGGCCTATTGTACCTGCCCCGGGTTATGATGATGATGATGGAGAATTTGGTGGAATGAAGATTAGTACGGGAAACCGAAGTCCTCGGAGAAAACCTACCCCAGCGCCACTTTGTCCACCACAAATCCCACTTGACCAGACCCGCGATCGAACCCGGGTCGCCGCAGTGGGGAGCCAGAGACTAACGCTTGAGCTATGGCGCGGCCTAAATTTGATCCTTTCTACTCAGTCCCAACATCTTTAACACTTCCGACGAGTCTGATTTTATCAAACAATGTGTTAATGATGAGTCGGTTTCCAACATGAAAACACCTGGATAATATAATTAATTGCTTTTCTTTGTATTTGGAGTAGATGGTAAGTCTAAAAATTTTCGTTCACATGCATTTCCTAGTTAACATAACTTCGCCCTACTGGGAATTTATGACAAATCCATTTCTTTTATACATATTGTATATTTTCAATATTGCACCAAAAGATCTCGGAAAACAACACACAAACTCATTTTCGAGATAAATGTTAGGTCTTTTTACCCTGTCTTGCTGGTGTATAGCCAAAAGCGTCGCGAAATATTTTGTTCTTGCTTCCGACGAGACGACATATTTATCCTATACAAGCGTTTCGCTTTTCTGTCTCATGAACGCGAATAAATCTATGCCAAATGGAGCCCTTTATTACCAGAAATTTCTAGGAACAAGCTCCGGAGGTTGTTATTCGGCATTCTGTTCGTCATGGGTCCTCTTATTATTTAAACGATTGACGATGCAGTGTACTACAACAAAATAGGATATTTGTCACCATTTACATTTTATAATCAACAATATAGCACAATACCTTCGTGCATGCATTTATATTTATTTATCTCGTCAAGGTAAATGTTGTTAGGCGACCCGAAGTTACAGGCCAACCTCGGTCATCACTTCACGCACCCGTTGGAACAAATTAATTTGAAGTTCACGTTTAGTAAATAGCATTCTGTATTATGGAAGTTAATCATAAATTAAGCTTTGTCGAATAATTTAATAGTCAGTCAAACGCTGGGTGAATATAAGTGTCTATGCACAGAAAGACGTAGTTTGAGAATAATAGGTGCATTTAATATAATAAAAAGATGCTTTGAAATAAAATCGTATTCAAGAGGAAGATAAATCCATGTAAATAATATTCCAGTAAATCATTTCTTCTTAAAATACTTCTTTTTTTTTTGTAAACTTTATAAATATTGCTGACTGTAAGTTCATGAAACCAAGAGTTTGAGTATGGGTTCGGAAGGAGAAAAGTTTGTGTCATGATGCAACTAAGAATCTATTTGCAATCGATCCATTAGTGAAATTGCCTTTGCGGCTTTGTCATGACGTATAATTGTTTTGATATCCTTAAGGTACGACCTTCAGATGGCTTCCATGATATGTCTGTTCTCCCCATAGAAAGAAAGCAGTGAACTTGTTGATGTTCTTAAGATTCATTTATGAAATGCGAGAAATTACAATCGTTTTAGTGGAAAGTTATGATTACAAAACTAAGCATGTGTTTATATGTCATTGTCGTGACGATGCTGAAAACAGAAAAGCACTTTGACACTCCGAGTGTTGCAGCTTGTGATCAATCTGACACCCATTATCATCAATAAAGTTGCAGTAGCGTAGTTGGTTGAGGGGTTATGCTACAAACCTGAAGGTCGCGGGTTCAAGTCCCGATGATGTCACTGGACTTTTTTTTTTTTAAATTCACCTAATCCTTCCAGCAGCAATAGGCCCTGGGATTGATTCAGCCTCTAACAGAAATGAGTACCAGGAATTAATTAAATAATTTTCTTGGGAAGTAAAGCGCGGCCGGGGCGTAAGGCTGAGAACCTTACCAGCATCTTTGAGCCGATTGTCTAGATAATGTGAGATCCTCGACGTCTCACAACCCTATGGGCCTTCACGGCCTGTTACAGGGATAGCTTTACTTTACTTTATATACATTTGTGAAATACTTTCATTTGATCATATTAATGTGATTAATAGTGCCATTGAATTGTTCACAATGTTTTATAAGCATAGGTATTTAACATTATTTCATCATAATCCTTTACTTTGAATGTACTCTATTTATTTCTGGCATATACAAAAACGCTGCCAATAATTAAGACTCTATGGCGTCAGTAATAGGATGAATGAGAAGGAGTGTATAAGGAAACTGTTGTGTCGTAATTTGAGGTAGAATTTTGTGTCTCAACATTTGCCTTGAGAACGAGGCAGGTTACGAAATATTGTCAGGATATCTGCTGAGTATATTTTGCAACCAAATTGTGTCCTTCATTAGGGCTACTGTAAGCAAATTCCTCAAAAACAAAATATTTTCCTTAGTAGTTATTTAATTATGTAGTCCTTAAAACTGGTACATCTACTTGAAATAATGTCCATAATAAGTTTATGGAGTATGTGAAGGGAATACTAGCTTGCTAGGAAAGTTCCCTACTGAATGCCTCTGTATATAAATTTGAAATTAATTATAAAATTCTTCATGATTTGGAAAGCCTCATATTTATCCTTTAAAAACTTCATAATTTTGCATGATTTATCAACAACCATTTAATTCCCTTATTTGGGTATCTTGGTATAAAACCGCCCTTTTTTAAGTGAATATATGTATTTAATTACCCGCACTTTTTTCACGGATTTCAAATTTGCATATCAGTATTTAATTTCTCCTCTATTTCATGTCATTCAGTATTTGTGCATTCATTTATACAAATAAAATAATTATACCAAAATTTTAGTGCCTTACGAATTTTCACAACAGTTGTAGACCAGTGGTTTTAGGATAAAAGTGATTATTAAAATATATGTAAAATTAATTCAATATTAAATTATAACACCATAAGCGAAATGAAGCCTGCTTAAGTACATGTTCGTTCATCTTGCTGTTGAAACACATCTACGAGACAAGACTATTGAAAATTTGCTGAAAGTATCAAAGTGTTACGGAATCCGAAACTATGTTAATGCACACGAAATTTGAATGTTGTAACCACAGAGATCATTTTATGTGAAATCTCCTGTATCACAAACAAACTTAAGAAATTTTCATTTTTTTAACATTTATATTTTATGAATTCAAAATTTAATGTTTCCAAATTCAACAGATTTAAGCTTAAATGCTTTAATTAATCTGCTTCATTTTTTCTCCATAACTCGTTACCGACTCCCAGTACGTTAAGAAATAGCACAATAAAATTTTTCAACTCCAAATTATTTCTTACCAAAAGTTTCCATTATTATACTATGTGCCAGGAGAATAGTAGAATTAAAATAAAATAAGCTTCATTAATGACAGTAAATTAATTCGAAGGTTTTAAGACATGTGATTAGCTAGTAACTTCTGTGGTTAATAAATTATTTTTTACAAACAGGGTTAATAATTTTCTACGATTCTCAATGTGAACTCTGAGGTTGCGTGTCGCACTAGCGTCGAAATTTTGAAATATGCGTCATTTTTATGTGAGGTACCTATCACGTGGTCCTACCTGAGGGTTGGGAGTTTAGGTAAGGAAATTTGGGGTTTGTTGGAGATCAACAAATTTTAGAGTCTTAATCTTTTACGTTATTTCAAAATGTTTCTTCAAATTTTCATTTTTAAGCTTCATGCATGAATATTATTGTGCTTAATTAATTAAGCACTGCACCATAAAGACATATGGGGGAATGAAAATATACCTCCACCACTCTGGACCTGGACACTAGATGAAGGTAAGTTGTCACCTTGGTGCCCCTGCTGCTTTACTCCCGATGCGAGAGGCCCCAAAACCCATTCTGTACGAGGCTGAGCGGGTCCCAGGTCCAGTCGGTGATTGTGGAGTACAGAAAAATCTCTTGTCCTTACCAGGAAAGGAACAGCAGCTGTCTATCGCGTAACCTGTTGTCATATCGACTGAGATATCCTGCATACACAAGCACACCCAGAACAGATATAAGTTACTACTGGTGTACAGGACCACAGTCAGCTGCGGACTGGTCGACCGGGATTCGATTCTCGGTAGAGGAGTTAGGAATCTGGTGTTAATCATGGCGTGTGTGGGATAGATCGTCAGGCCCCTCACCCCCACATTCAGTACGGGAAATGATTGAATTTCCAATCGTGTAAAAGGGGCTGGACTATGGAAGTGATAACTCCGAGTAGGGTAGAGATTTGCCTCCACGATTCCTGTTTGTACTGAATAGAGATGGGCTGACTTCATTACGTAATGTGAGTTAGGTTGAGTACGAACCTTCATTGTCTGTCTGCCATAATTTTGATGTGCATCTGCGCGTTATTTAAATAATCATATCAGCAAATCCTGTTCTTACGAACACCCATTGTGTTGCTCCTCCTTTGTTTTATTAGGATATGGGATTTTCATGGATCCGTTATTAGCCTTAAGGTCCTGACCACAGAGATAAATGAGCTGCATACAAACGTGTGCTGTTTCTTCATAAGAACCCAGGTCACGGCCATATTTTTCTTGTAAAAGACTTTTTTCCCCAGTCTCCTATCCATCATTCTGATCCATGCTTATGCGCCTATCTAGAAAGACTTCTGTAAGAGAACTTAATATTCCCGTTGAGTTTCCACGGATATGTAATTTCAGCTATCTCACTCTATACGTTCCTTTTATACGTAATAAGAAGACGGTCAATAGTCTGAGCATGCCTTTTTGCATATTCGTGATTATAAGGGTTATAATGGCTGATGGCGGAACAGACAGGTGTTTATGTAATTGGATCAGCAAATGTTTGAGAGGCGCAAACAATCTCAGCTGATCTAAACTATGGTTAGAACAA